TAGCGCTATAAAAACTAACACAGAAACGCTTTCCGAATTAAAATTAATGCATTTTTGGCTTAGTTATGATTGATTTAATTTCGGGCTTTCTTATTAAATAAACCTTTGATTTCGAAAAGAATTTTACACTACTTTCTATATTTAAACATATTTTATATACACCTTTATTTATAAAACGATAAAAAATTTATAAGCAAAGTATAAGCAAATGTAAACAACAGAAATATGCTGTTACATATTCTTATCGTTTCCTATAGAGTATTCTATTTTTAGATATGTTCCTTCGATAAGATCGCTTCTTTGCTTGTGAGAACTTTGGCTAGTAAATTATTATATGCCCGGCTAGCTCAGTCGGTAGAGCATGAGACTCTTAATCTCAGGGTCGTGGGTTCGAGCCCCACGTTGGGCGAGATCAATTTTTTATATTCTTTGTTTATTATATATACATATTTCTTTAAACGATTTTTTATTCAGTTAGCAACCAAAAACTAATAAGAAAATACATAATCTATAAATAAATAAGTCCCGAAATTGTAATTATAAATGACAATATCATTTAAATTAATGTTTTTCTTGGCTTCTTTAGGAACAATGCCATACTGATTTAATTAATAAAGACTTATATTTTTAGATTTTTAGAATATTTAAAAAACCAATGTTCATTCATTTATATTATAAGTTAATTTACTCATCCAATTCGTATAACTTTATTTATTTAGAAAGAAAACTCATCAGATAATCACACAAAAACTTAAGATTTCATAACTTTCTTACCCATAAAACATTGGTGAATATTTGAGGTATCCTTCGAACTCCCAGAATGTAAACAGATTGCCGGCCACTCGTTTCTCTGGGTCGGACATTTGCTTTCTGGGATCCGTTTCGTCCTTTTTGGTGGCAAAATACTGGGGTGTGGGAAAACACAGTCGACGACAGTGGGAAACATGGAAACATAAATGTAAGTATTAATGCAAATAAATTGGCTGCTTTCCAGTTCCCTGCCCCCCACGGAGGACACTCACCTCCGGCCCGATGACAAAGGCCACCAGCGGAATGGCAATCATGATGTTGACCCACATGAGCCAGCGCAGGAAGGTGAAGTAGGAGGCCACGCCGGACCCAAAGTGCGACTCGATCTCCTTGATGCGCAGCTCCCAGGGAATGAGGACGGTGAGGAAGCTGGTCGTCTCTCGTTTCCAGTGTCTCCATCGCTGGAGGAGATGTGGCAAGAAAAATAAGAAGAAAACTGTAATTCACGCTCCCATGAGTTATGCACGTCTCGGGTGAATCGCAGGCAGCAAGTTCGTACTTTAATTGGTTTTCCAGCGAGCAAAGCCCGGACACCCAAGTGCACATAACTCGGTGAATTATGCGAGTGTGGATTTATTGAATATGTCCGTCGTCCTCCGCCCGGCCGGAAAGTGGCCCATAAATTGTGTAAACATAAATATTTTGCATGGCTTCGCCTTGGGCTTGCTGCAGCCACATTCCACATTCTGCATGCTGCATTCTGGAGGCATTTCCGGCCGAAGGAGGGTAAGGAAAATCACTTACTGCCGCCATTAAAATTTTAAACCTCGCCCACAAGTCCCTCGTGCTGCGTGACATGGCGAAGCGTTCCTGCAGCGCGCCCTCGTGGCGTGCCACATATGTTTTGGCCTGTCAACACATCCACATCCAGAGGGGGCCAGATCCCGGAGTCCAAACATCATTAAAAATGCCAGGGCGAAGCACAAGATGGGAGATAAAGAGGTGGTGTGAATGAAATCGAAAAGTTTGCCTCAGGATTTGATGAGTGTTCGGAGAGGCAGGAGGCCAGGTGGCAGGAGGTCGTAACATTTTCAACGACTTGACAAGCGGCGTGAAAACGAACGCGCCCAGTTTTTGGGCCCACCTCCATTGTGGTCCTCCTGCTCCTCCTTTTCCACTCCCATCTTAACATGGCAGTGCTGCCAGGTCCACTACCAGGACAGATTGGTGGAATAAAAAGGCGGGAAAACAAGGTCAACACAAGTGATAAACTCTGGGCTATAAGGAATAAATGATTAATTGACCAAATAAAGCAATATTTATACTAATATAACATGAACAAATGTTAATAAAAGGTATGATAAATAAATAAATAATTTGGTTTAGATATATAAATAAGAAACAATGTTGTCATAAGATCTATCCACATCCATGCCAAAATTGCCACCTCTGTCTCCTAGGCCTAAGGTCCTTAAATTCCACCCACCTGCCGCACTAGTTTGAGCTTCTTTCGTATGGGCCATGGCTGTAACTTCACCGACTGTATGACCTCCTTGTGCAGACGTATATTCTCAAAGATTTGCTCCTGCGTGGACTCCTGATTGGTGCCCTCCTCTGCAGGGTGGAATGGATACGGATACGGATATGGAAACGGGGGGAAAATAAAACCAAGTCAAAGCAGAGTCTGGCAAACAGATTACACATACGCCCCGTATGACGGCACGTAGCATGAGAAATTACGGGAAAACAGGCCCCCAGACGTTGATTAGCTGCCGCCGGAGGACCCGCCTCCGCCTACGACTCTGGAGCTCGTTAACTAAGCGGAATCTGGTTCGGACACTTATGGGGCCCGGACTGGAGGAGCACTTTGCACTTGCCTGAACTTGTCGTATAGACACTGGAGCGCCGCCGCTCCACGCTATCCAGCACGTGATCCATGGGACTGGATGCTCGTCGCGAGCTCCGGCTGCCACGTTTGCCTCGATAGCCGCGCACACTGGCACGTCTTTGCATTATTGCCGATACGGAAATAGAGTAGTCCTCCTCATCGTCGACGTCGCCGGGGCCTCCATCCTCGGTTCCAATCCCTGGCGGATGCTGGCCAAAATGCGGTTCGTGGTGGCTGCTCTCGGCGTCGCTGCTTTGGTTTTGTAATGGAAAATCTAGAGACGGAGGGAAGGACGAAGGACTCTCTGTATTATTCCCATAGTAGGGTGTAATTTTACGGTTTATAAGTTACACACAGAAAAAGTCTGTATCCACTCTATATCGGTAACATATTATTATTAAATTTGGTGCTTTTGTAAACTTAAATACTTTAAAAGTGTATAATGTTTAAAGAACAAAAGAAATAAATAGAACAGAACTTACCGTTTATCTCGTACGATCTATGTTCCTCCTGTGATGCGGTTCTTTAATAAAAATTAATGACAGGAAAGTGTTCCAAGGACCTTATTTACCCATACTCCTACAGACTCACCTCCTTCCCCTTTGTCCTCGATAGAATTCCCTCTTGGCATCGGCGCTACTCTGCATTTGCCAGGAATCGCCGCCTCTATTCAAGTCGCATGGCGGTGCCCAGGTCACGGATAGTTGGTGCGGCGATGTTACACCCGAGTTGTTCTACGAATTCAGTTTGAAATTACAGCAAAAACTGCTTATTTATCGGTTAATTACTTCAATAACACGGGTTGTGTATAATACTCTTTAAACACGTATTAGGGGAACACTTTAAAGTGATGTCCCAGCAACCTATGATTAGCTTTTGCTTGGTTAGTTTTAAATCCCTAAAACACTTTCTCACTTATGGGGAATCCCTTTTAGTCAGTCACTGAGCTCGGTTAGAGAAAATCCTTTCAGTCACTAGTCTATGTCCCGGATCGGATTTTTCTAGTGTGCCGCCGTAGCGCTTAGGAGCAGCCTTCTCCGCGGACTGAACGGCTTAGCTGGCTGGCAGGGCCAGCGAGCCGCAAAAGACCATCATCCAAAAGGACAGCGGACAGTGGGGCACCAATACCACTGACAGGACCACTGCCCGCACACACACAGACAGGTGGAAAGTTAAATTTTTCTAATAATGAATGAATATGAATGAAGAGAAGGACCGACCCACCGACCACCCAACCAGTGGCCCACCCTTGGCCAACTTATCAAAGCCAAAACGTGCCCAAAACCCACACACTCACAGCAGAGAGCGGCGTCGAGGGCAATGGAATTTACATGGACGGGGGAGAGCGACTATCCTGGTCTGGCCACACGTATCTGACTTCCTCGCCCAGTTGGAACGAAGACGAATGAGTGTAAAAATCGCTAGCGGCATGTGATAACAACGCCGTATCCGGGCGTAACCAGCCAGGACTTCGAATGTCCATTTAGATGGCGCTGCCCGAGTGTGTGGGTGTTCCATGCTCGGTGTGTGGGTTTTTGTGGCGCTTGATATTGAGTCACGTTGTATTCTTGGCCCGGCCATGTAAATGAAAATCAAACATGCAAGGGTTGATAAAGAAAATCGCGAAATTCTAGGGCTTTCCCAGCTGGGGGAGCGCCCACTATTGAAATATATGTTTTGGCGCTCTCCGCTGTGTTTTGTATTTTCGCTTTTCGCGTCCTCTGATTTCACTTTCGCTTTCCCTTTTAATTAAATGAAGTTCTCGCAGAGGCCGTTCGCCAGGGCTTTAATTAACATCGAATTTATCTCCTCCGCCTTCATTCACGGACCACGAATATCCGCGCACGTGTAGCATAATGCCAGGTGATTATGGGTTCATTACCCGCTGTGCTAAGTCCTTTGGCCTAGTCCGAGTCCGAGTTCTAGACCCGAATCCGGGTTTACGGCAGGTGCAAGTGAACTTGAGACGGACTCTGTCAAAGTTCAATGCCAGGATGGACAACTACACTGAGCTTAATTAAGTAAAGAGTCAAGGTATTGCCAGCTTTTTCAGTATAGAAATCCCTTAAAAGGGTTGACGGATATTAGGGGTTATTTAGAGAGGCTCTAAAAGAAAATATATATATTATTGGATTCATATTTTATTAATATTTCACTGATCGTATTTTCTGAATTTAACAAAGTTCACAATACTCCACAGCCAAAGGCTTTTCTTTTCTATGTAGCTGACCCTATTACTTAAGCCAAATGTAGGCCTAAGTGGCTTTCCATGTTCGGCTGCAGTTTTCGCTGTTTCGCCATAAATCCTGGGTCCTAACATGGCCAACGCCTTCGGCGCAGAAATGTGGGTCAGCGGAGCACATACACAATATGTATATATATTAATTTGAAGCCACAAATTTAGAACCGAAAGAAACCGAACCCATGAAAGGAATGATGCATCATTATCATCAGTTGATGTGGCACACGCTGCTCTCACTTTTGCATCGACGAAACTTATGGGCGCAAGTGCGATAGCGCTTCAGCAGCTGCTCAGCATCCGAGGAGCAGCTGCCGTTGGAGCTCTCCAGGTGGACGCGGGTGGATTTCCGAGATCCGAAGCTATCCAGGCTGGTGGAGCGCCGGCAGACGCGGCTCTGCGGAATGTAGTTGTCACCGGCGGCCTTCAGGTTCTTATCCATGATGTCGCGGGTGAAGCGGGCTTGAACCTTCTGCTTTATGTGAGTGCCTGCCAGGTTCCCGTGGCGGCAGTTCTCACGGATCCATCGGCGCACCACGCGGCAGCCCAGATAGAAGCTCTGGTTGCTAAAGGCCTTGGTGTCTAGCATAAAGCCCTGCCGGCTCAGAAGGCCAAAGCCCAGGTCAAATATGTTGTGAGCCAAGGCGGGAGGATTGGCTCCGCCCTTGTACTTGAAACTCTCTGGACCCACCGCCTCCATGGTACCCGTTATCTCCCTATGGAACCGTCGATCCTGGGGAGTGCAGTATTTCCACGGCTTGAAGCCAATCGTGTGATCCTTCTTTATCTCAAAGTCCACACCCAGGCGATCGTTGAACTCGATCTTGTCGATGCTCATCAACCGTCCGTGCTTATGGGTCACCGTGAAGGTAACGCCTTCGGGGCCCGTTGTCTGGATGCTGCCTTTTCCGTGAAAGCGATTGTTCATAAAATTGCCATCGTACTGGGTGCCATCAGGAAATCTATACGTTCCGTGATCCTGCATGCCCAGCTCAGTAAACTTGCCAAAGTATGTGGTTCCGGTGAGGAAAGCTTCCTTCCGGGGGACATCCGAAGCCCTCTCAAAGAAGGTCATTTTTCCAACTCTGAGAGTTTACGAACAGCAATCAAGTGTAAAAGTAGTGTTTCAATTTTAAAGTTTTGTATCTTGTGTTAATGTCTGACTTCAAAGCATACTGATAATGTAAGGGACTTGGCAATCAAAGTTAGAGAATCTAAAACAAATCCCCTTCTATTTCCTTTTCTGAAAACTAAGTAATAATAATAATTTGGTTAATGCCCATTAGTAATCTGTCTTCTTAACTCAACTCCCCAGATAACCAAAACAAATCACGCTAATGTGCGAAACTTACGCTAAAGTTTGCCTAATTACTCTCCCTGGGGAATGACTACATATATAAGACATCAATTGAGCTCGGACAGAAACGAGTTTTTCTTGGAATCATGAAGCTATTGACACTTATTTTGGCCCTGGCAGTTGCCTCCGAAAGTTCGGCCAAGAAGAAGGACGATCGCGTGGACATCATCACCAATGGCAGTCCGGCCTACGATGGCCAGGCGCCCTACGTGGTGGGCATGGCCTTCCAGCAGAGCAATCTCTGGTGTAGCGGCACCATCATCGCTGACACCTGGATCCTCACCTCGGCCCAGTGCCTGACTGGTAGCTCTGGAGTAACCATTTACTTTGGAGCCACCAAGCTGACCTCGGCTCAGTTCTTGGTTAGTGTGGGTGCTAGCCAATATGTGACTGGCAGTGAGCATCTTGCCCTGGTTCGGATTCCCCGAGTTGGATTCAGCAATCGAGTGAGGAATGTAGCTTTGCCATCGCTGAGGGATAGCTCCCAGAGCTATGAGAACAGGTGGGCCACCGTTTGTGGGTATGGCGTGACCACCTTTACCAGTGGTCTCTCCGACTGGCTGCAGTGCGTCGACCAGCAGATTATGCCCAACTACGAGTGCGTCTCCTTCTACGGCTCCACCACCGTCTCTAACCAGATCCTTTGCACCCGCACTCCCGAAGGCAGATCCCCTTGCTTTGGCGATGCAGGAAGTCCCCTGGTCACCAAGCAGGGCTCCACTTTGGTGGGCATCTCCGCATTCGTGGCCTCAAATGGATGCACACTGGGCTTGCCGGCTGGTTTTGCCAGGGTCACTGCCCAACTGGATTGGATACGCCGGAACACTGGCATCTCCAATTAAAAGAGCGAGTGTACTAAACATTTTTCCATAAAGTGTGTCTTTGAAAGCATTATCTAAAGAGGATAATTTCTTTTCTTCGTCCTTTCTTTTTCAAAATTAATTTATGTAACATTTATTCAGACCTTACAAAGATAACTACTTCTGAAGGCTTCCGTGCTCCGTGCTGATCTATTCGAAGAACATGTAACATTTAAATTTTGAAAAACACAAACAAATTTTGCTCGATCTACAACTCGAAGACGGAACGCGTCATGTCCATGTAGCTGATGCGGCGAATGAGATTGGATTGGACCACACTGAAGTTGTCCCCCACTTTCCTGTCCTTCATGACCTCGGCTGCAAGGTAGGTCTCCCTCACGTTGAGGGGAATCGAGTCCTCGTTGATGCTGGCCGATTCGCAGCTGGAGTCGCCGCCCGACTTTGGAATCCGGGCATTCGAGGAGCTCGACCTGTGGCGTGGCAACTTGATTCGCTGCTCTTGGGTTCCCGGATTCATAGCCATCTCGTCCAGCATTCGGCCATAGGCACGGAGGCAGGCATCTGTCTCCCAGGCGGGATCGTCAAGGCTATTCTTCCGCTGGCGGGCGGTGGGCAGCGGATCCCTCTCCTCGGGACCGTGTGGCTTGGCCAGATTGTGATAGTAGCGCTCCCGATTCACCTTCCCGAATGGCGCATAGACGGCCGTGCGTTTCAGCTGCATCCTTTCCGTGGCCAAATTATTCTCAATGATGTTGCGGCACACCTTGGCCTTGGGTTCCACAATGTGGTCACTTCTGGCCTTCCGGCAATTGTTCATGATCCAGTCCTTCTCCTCCTTGCAGCCAACATAGACGGAACTCTGGAGCGGCGGTGGACGCTCCGTCAGCCAGCAGGTCTCGGAATTGTAGATTCCCTCCTCGGTGTCGTAGCACTTCTTCGGAATGGTGCGTGCCACCATTTTGGAGGTGAGGTAAGCGGTGGGTCCCACCGGCTGCTGGCCATAGCGCCGCTCTGCCTGATACCGTCTATCCAAGGGAGTCAGGTAATCCCACTTGGACCAGTCCAGTCCGTTGGGCGTTATCTGGCCCTGCACATGCAGGCCATCGGCGAACCACATATCCTCGATGGACACCAGGCATCCGTTCTTGAACTCACCCTTGAAGGTGAACCGATAAGGCTGGGACAGTCGGATCTGGCCAAAGCCATGGAACTGACCTTGGTGGAAGCCACCGCGATACTCGCTCCCATCTGGATAGCGGTAGCTCCCAAAGCCGGTCATCACGTTGACGGTATTGCCAAATGTGCCCTCATAGCTGCTCCGCGTGATGAACTCCTGGTGCGTGGCCTCCGTATACGACATGGTGGAGGCTCTGCTGGGTCAGTGTTATGGAACGGGGATTGTGTTTTCGAAGCTTGCAAACTAACTCGAACGTGCCTACTGTCTAGGTTTTGTGTTTTTGTGTGACCCACTCGGAATGGCGTAGCTTGTTGAGATTACGCATCAGGTTTATGACTAAATAAATGTTAGTCCCCCTCCCAGTCCATTCCACACTTGACCCAAGTCCGGGACGGGGTGTGTCCTCCACAGCCAACGCATCCACTGCCACTCTTCACTTCAGCTGTTGTCGCATGTCTGGCCTAATGAACCTCGGGATACCCTTGTGTCCTTTGCAGCCGAGTTGGTTGTGTGTGATTCGCCAGGACCTCTTGCCTCTTACCTGATTGAGTCTGGTCATTTAAGTAATTTACCTGGTTTATTAGCTCTCATAAAGTTGAAAGCTTGGGTAATCTGTGATTTTTCAGGGTTTACTATACAATTTCAAGTCTGTTTTGGGATGAAAGTGAAGGTTCTTTTACATAAAGTTTATGTTAATTGGATATTTTTGAGCAAAAATGTAGAACAATTTTCTAACTAGGATTAGATTTTATCTAATTTAAACTGTTTTAGTTTTGAAATATTTTAAACATATTTTGAACTCAGGAAATATTTAAAATTAAAGAAAATATAGTTTTATTATTAGACGCCTTTTTAATATGGATTTTTGGAGACTTTAAAGACAATGACATAATTTATAAAATTGCTATAATAATAAAACTGAAAATAAGCCATAGACAAGGCCAGAAGGACAGGTATATTTCTAGGATTTTTTAGTTGCAACGATTTTTGTTGAATTGAACTCATTTTAACCTTAACGATAAACCCCTTCTGGCACAACGTATGCTCAGTTCGTGATGACCCCATCTAAAATTCCTTCACCTAGCTATTGGTTTCTGGCTAATGGCTCCTCTGTCAGTCTGTATTTCTGTCTCCCTGCTCCGGGCTATTGCCGTGTGTAAAAAAATGATTTTAACAGCCAGAAAGGGGATCGCTTTGGAGGCGGATGGTCACAGCCAGAAGCGAACGCCAGTTAAGTGCGATTGGTGTTTATGGCCAATGGAATTGCTGCAGCTGGGTGCCAGCCACATTCACACTCCACTGGCCCCAGTCATTGGCCTGTTGGCCGGGCCAAATCGTAAGCACTCCCCGACGGGCCGTAAATCATGCTCACTTACCTCACTGTTGGCGCCAGTGGCCACGTTGCTGTCGTTGCCACTGCCATTGCCACTGCCACTGCCACTGGCGGCGGTGGTGGTGCTGCTGGAGCCCACGCAGCGGAAATCGACGGAACCACCTGATGAGCGTCGCGGCTTGCCAATGTCCAGGCGCAAAATGCCTGGCTTTGGGCGCCGGGGAGCTATGGCTGGTGGCGGCGGACTCCGTACGGAGTCCGAGTGGCTGCTGGCCACCGGAGTGAAGGGATCCTCCTCGTTGTGCATGGCACTCTAAACAGGGGAATTCAAAACCCACCGAACAAAACTGGCCACAGAATGTGCGATTCACCGCGCACACGTCCGCCGTGCAGCGCCAACGCGAAGTGACTACATCCGTGTCCTGGGCCAGGATATGGAAGCAACAATTACGCGCGCAGCCACGGGCACTGAAAATAAAATGTGAATTAAACGCGCCACCCACGCGATAAGTGTCAATGGGTGAGTGTGTGTCTCTCTGTGCTGCGTGTGTAAGTGTCCATTCTCTGTGTGTGTGTTTGGCTGCCAGAATGACGATGACGTTGGACAGGACAGGACAGGAGAGGACAGCACAGGACACGCGGCACTTTCAACTGCTTCTCCTCCTGGCTGTCACCGGGCGGCTCACATGACACAAAGCGAACTTCCTGCTTTCAGGGTCACCTGGAGCCGTGCGCAGCCTACCTTTGTGTAATTATGTCTCTGCCGCGGCCCCAAAAAGTGTCAACAGTTCGTTCCCGAAAACAAAAATATCGCATGTCCCCCATGTCCATGTCCTGCCGCCATGTGCAAAACTCCATTTTTCATTTTTACTGCCTTCACTTTTCACTTTGTATTTTTTATTTTATATATATATTTTTTTTTTTGCGCCTTCCATTAGTGTGCTGCCCTGGCTCATGTCCTTAATTATGAGAGCACAAACAGGAGCCTTCACTTTGTTTTCTAATTTAGATACCCAACTGTATTTAGGGTTACTTGGTTTCCGAAGGTATACAACGCAAAACCATACGAGTTTTCTAATCACTGGAGATTTGTAATTGTTATAAAGACACTATTTTGAATGCAAACCAAAATATATATTATTTTTGCTAAACATGTCTTCTTGGCTTTCGTATACCACCAAGAAATCCTAAAATATGTGTATTATAAGTAAATTAAATCGATTTTTTTTATATGCTAATTTTTTGGGTGAATCAAAGTTTTTCAAATATCATAGCTAAGCCAAAAACTCAATAAATTCAAATCAAAAACCTTTTCTGTGCTAGTTTTAAAGCACTAAAAAAACTGCATACTCAGTTTTAGAATTTAAGAAATTAAATTTTTTTTGCAAATTTTGACAATTTTAATGATGTAACCCCTTATGAAATTTTGAAATTTTGAAAAAAAATTTCGAAACTTTTATTTTCCACCAGACATTGCTGGATCGATTCAGCTTTCAATGCTGATCAAGAATATATATGATTTATAGGGTCGGAATTGACTCCTTCACTGTGTTGTTAGCTTCTGCATCATCAAAACTTACCATATCTCAGGTTCAATGATAATATTAAGAAAAACGGCAAAATTATAATTTTATTCATGTGTATATTTTCCTGGTTGTTCCTTATAATGATCCGATCTAACCACTTCAATTTATTATATACCACTTACATTCAATGTCCCAACACAGTGATGGGTAATATCAAGTCGATCCACTGCCAGTCTCCCGGAGTAGATGATATCTCCGCCAGGACGCTCCCATTTTGCCCGAATGCGCTTGTTAGGTGGCACACAGCAGCGGCCATGCTCTATGCCATTCCCATTCCATTTCGCAGATGCCAAGCCCACCTGCTGGGCCCAGCGATGTCCTCACATGTCCTGCCCCTGCTGATATGCAATGCTTTCCTATTACATGCAAAGCGCGTTAAATTAATTGAACCGTAAAGTGTCAGCAGCAGCAGTGGCAGCAATGACAGTGGCCGTGGCAGGATGCAAACTTGTAGCCCAGCGGGTTGCATTTAATTTTTATTACTTTCGCTTTATTCTATTGCCCTGAACCAGAGCAACTAATATTAATCTAACTTGGGTGGTGTACGAGTACGTTAGGCTAAAGTAGCTTATAATTAAACTTTTCCTATCTGTCGCAAAAATGTGTTTTTTGTTTTTGTGGAATGGATGAGTGAGTGTGTGCGCCTGGTTTATGCTTAGTACAAATTTCAGTTTCAGTCTCAAAAATCGTTTGCATAAATTACCTAAAACCACTCTACGTATATTAACTTGTGTTTTTTATCTTTTGTTCGCTTTTGTTTCTATATAAATTTCGTACCTAAATTGTAGAAATGTCATAAAATCGTTTGGAAAATCGTCGTTTTCATTGCAATGTCGGGCAATAAAGGACCTAGAGAGAGGGAGAGTGAGAGCAATGATGCTACCAAATAATGCAATAAAAACCCGACAGAGTTTGATGATGATTGAAATCCATTTGGCCGGCTTTAACTCAACTCAAATTTGAATTGCAAAATTCTGCTCTGCCCCGAAGTCCGCCCGCCTTGATTGTCGTCACAGTGTTACGCAGATTCCCTCGCATATTGAACTAACCTTAGAATATCTGGTTTTACGAGCTCCTATCCCCTAGATGAACCTATCTAACTCCGAGTACAATCTGCACGTTGTTCGTCGAGTGTACATTTTACATAACTACACTATCTAACATACCTACCTACCTGGTGGCTACCCCTCTTTTTATAGCCAACGAATCCCCATAAATTTCAAGTAAATCGCTTATACGCCACGTATGCCACAAGCTCGGTTTGCACTTGCCCCAGCAGCTGACTTAAATTTATAGAGTCGAGTTACCTCCCAAAAAAAGGAAGGGAGGGAGGGAAAAATAGTAAAACAGGAAACCTGTCGTAAGTGGAAGGGACTGCTGCCATAGTCGAGCGTAAAAGTAGAATCGATTTATGCATAAAAACGTTGATGCCGGCACAAATTTATGAATAACAAACATTTGATCTTCTGTGGTCGGTAGTCCTTGGCTGCAGGAGAAGCTCCTTCGTGTCTCTACCCTAGTCCTGTTTGCTTAGCTTAATAACCAGTTTTTCTTGTACACGAAAAGTTGGTCAAGTTAAGCAGTAAATGCTCTTTTGGCTCCTGGCAGTATGTTATGTCTGTGTATGGCTGGCTACGTGGCGTATGATTAATGTGCGTGGTCTGTGCGCTTAATGAATTGGAGCCACAAGGTGGTCTGCGATACCTGGCCAAATACTTTCATTTAGTTAATACTTAAATACACATTGAGCTTAAGTTAAATGCCCGCTAATCGACTTATGTCCTAGGTTGTTCTGTTGCCTGTTGCATCTCTGGCATCTCAATAAGCATGTCGTTCGGTTCGCATTTCGTTTGGGTTAATTTGGTCCTTTAGTCTATTGGTTTGTCCTACTGGCTACGCTTACATCTATCAAACCTACACACTTAGGGCCATGCTAAAAACACACTTAACAGCTAATAAACGCACACATTACGCCCGTTTTGAGGACAAAAGGACCTCGGGCCGCCCTCAGAAAGTTGTCACTTTGCCCAGACGCATGCCGAGCAATTTACGACGCTTTTTGGCGCTCAGCTTTGTCCAAATGGTGCTGCTGCCCTCCACCAGCAGGAACTCATCGCATAAATCATCCGTCTCCTTGGTTGTCGCTTGTATGCCGCCGTAGAAGTGATCCTCCTGATACTTCTCCGAGCGCGAATCGCCGGAAACGAAGCCGCTCTCCGGCCGGGACAGGGAGGCGGTGTGCCAGGGCAGCTGCTGGAACCATCGGGCCACTTTTGCCGTCGACGAGAGCTGTGGAAATGAGTTGGGATTTCGGGGGGGTGTAAAGTAAAGTAAAGTAAAGTCAGTGTGTAAATTTATGCAAATGAGTTATGTGCGCAAATTGCTGCCCACCAGCAGAATCCGAAGGGAACACACAAAAAAAAATAAATGAAAGAGACCAAGTAGAGTGAAAAATGGCGACACTTGTTTTTGCTGCTGTTTTTCTTTTGCCACGGCATCGTTTTTCATTTATCAGGGGGAAAATTTATGCACTGATGTCCAAAGGGGCGGATGCTTAATGCGCTTAAAAGTATGCTGCTTGTTTTTTGCTGCGCCGTGTCGGAAAAGTCATTAGGGAAATTGCCGGACCCAGCGTTAACTTTCAATTATTACCCTTACTATGTACGCTGCTCAAAAGAATGTTTATACATAATTATGCGACTTTTATTATTACATATTTCTGTTCTGCCTGTATTGGTGTTCGTTCCGAAGATTTTCATTTACAAATAACACCAGCTTTAACATGATTTTATTATTATTTGCTTCCACTCAGAGCGAACGAATTGTGAAAGCCTAAATTGAATTAAATTACAACAATTTACAAAAATAACAGTATCCAACTTAACCAGTTTAGACTAGACTCAGTAGCTTAATCACTAAGTGTTTAGATATATGTTTAAAATATATATTTTATGGGAGAGAAAATACTTTCTGACAAACTTGAGCAAGTCTCTGCATTCGTTGCTGATATGCCGCTATCGGGTTTTTCTAGGATTATGTTTCACAAATACTTTCACTGACTAGACATTAAGAAGTTAACCTAGAAAGTTGAGCCAGATGATGATGTTGCTATAGATTTTGGCACACTTAGAGCTCCTCTATATATTATGTATATGTATGTTACACTTGGCCAAACTTTGAGCTGGACTAAATAATTGGCACATTATCTCTCTGCTGGGGGAAACCTAAAATGCATAACTAAAGTAAGGTGTTTTTTGCTCCTAAATTAATACTGTTCCAACCGACTCTCACTCCCTCATTCACTCGATCTTTACACACATTCCTCGCACACATACTCCACATGACTCCCCTGGTCCACTTAGAATTCCCAATCCCTGGGTTCATCTCATTTGGTGGTGTGCCTGGCCCAGGCCGTCCTCTGCACCTGGCTCATCATCTGACTGCGATTGGGCACCTTCTCGCTGGTGCTCCGCGTGATGAAGCTGGGCGTGGCCGATAGCTTCCTCTGGTGACCCGCCTCATCGGTGACCCTCAGCAGGACTGTGTTGAATCTCGTCTCCCGGCTGCTGCTCGTGCTGTTGCTGTTGCTATTATTGTTATTGTGATTCTGCTGACCATTGCTGCTCCCGGGACTGATGTTATTGTTGCTGCTCCTCAAGCGCGGAGATGAGGGCGAGTCCAGGGTGGAGGAACTGCGACTGGTGTCTCGAGTGCTGGTAGATCCTCCGCAGGCCAGGCCAGCTAGGTTCCCATTCGACACCGCCGCCTTTAGCTGCTCCTCCAGGTTGTTCAGATTCTGTTCGATGCTCAGGCGAATGTCTTCGTTCAGCGACGAACTCCCGGCAAAGGAGTTGCGATTAATGCTGCCCAGAGGCGAAGGCGTCAGGGTTCCCGTGGCCGCCGGTGAGGTGAGGAAATTGAAGCCTCCAGCTCCGCCTGCATTATTATTGGGCGTGGCCGGAGTGCAGGAAAGGGGATTCACATAGAAGAAGGAGTTGTGCGGCGAGGCCGTCGAGGGCGTCTGCTGACTCTGCGCCGGATTGGCATTCAGATTGAGGGCTTGCAGTCGGTTGAGCAGCTCCTGGTTGACCTGGAACAGGTCCTTAGACAGGGCATCCTGCTGCTGTTGCTGCTGCTGCTGCTGCAGCTGATTGCTGATGCTCTGCAGCTGGCTCATCGATGGATATGGACTACTCCCACTGGCCACCGGAGGAGGTGTGGCTGGATTGGGATTCGCAGTTGCCTGCTGCTGTTGCAGGTTCTGGAGGTGCTGGCTCTGCTGGTTGAGGCCACTCAGCTGGTGGCTCAGCGAGGTCAGCTGCTGGTTGATGCTTCCCAGATTACTGATTTGCTGGTTGATCGTGGCCAGGTTGTTGTTGTTGCTGGTGGCCTGGAGCAGCAGTTGCAGCTGCGATTGCTATGGGAGTGGTGGGTGGGTGAGAGGTCATCATTAGGTATACTCAAATCACCTCAACTAGGAAAACTCACAGCTAGAAACATTCGTGCAAACACAACAATAACGGCAGCCAAGAAAAACAGCAAAAACAAAACAGAACAAATATCATGCAAAAAAGGACGCACAGCTGGGATAGGCTCGAAATCAGAGCAAAAATTTACGATCGCATAACTCAAAAGCCAATGGAGCGGAGAGCATAAACCCGTAGGCACTCACCTGCGGCGCCATTCCGATATTGGCCGACGTGAGGCCGGCACTCTGCTGCTCGTTGTATGCCCCCAAAGAGGCCAGGTGCTCCAGCAGCTCGCGATTCTGTTGCAGCAATTGTTGGGTGCGCGCCTTTATAATATATTCAAAAATAATAACCCGGTATTAGGATGTGATCTTCTTAAGGAGAAGCTCTCCTTCTGGACACTCACCTGTGCCTCGATGCGCGCATTGGTCTCCGAGATGAGCTGCTCCCGCACCAGCATCAGTTGACCCAGAGCCTGGCGCGTTTGGAGAGCCTGTGCCTCCAGTTGATCCTTCAGCTGCGTGATCTCTGAGCGAGGCGAGGATGGGGAGCCGGGTGACTTGTCATCCACATCGCACTGGAGGGGAAAGGAAAAGGGAATCATTAAATTAAATAATAAATTAAATATTATTAATTAATATTAAATCATTATAGTTAATTAATATATTTAATAATAAAATCGGACAATGTTCATTTTAAATTCTTTTTTTTTAAGTTTGATTTAATATACATCAGAACGTTTCCAAAATTCTTTTCAAACATCTAAAGCTTTTGTAGATAAGTGTGTTGTACACAAAATATAATTAAATCCTTTATACATTTCCTTTGAAAATGTATCACAGACAGTTAGTGCGAAATTATTTACGACTCTAAAAATCTACCTGCAAATTAATAGCCCCATTTCAATGTCACATTCTCGGGACCAATAAAAAAAAGTAATATTTGGTCATAAAAGAAAAATCTATGAATTTCAAAACATGCCCAAAATGTGGCCACTAATTGCATTCCTAAAATATTGATAGTAATATTTGGGAAGCTGATTTATTTTCGCCTTTGATGCTGACATGGCATTGTTTTATTATTCGCCCAGCCTTGACACTCTTCAGGGGCATATGAAAAGTTATTGAATTCGAATCTTATTGTTTTTGCCGAATGTTTACCTTCTGCTGACCGCTTTGCAGAGTAAACAAATGCGAAATATTATTTTATATATTATGACCTAAACAGAAACGCCAGCCCATGGGCCACATTGTATTTGTATTTGATTTCATTATTTTTGATTATGTTATGCGAGTGTGGCCGGAGATTTCTGCTCATTAAAATTGGCCAGCGCCTGGCATTTTAATGGCCCGTCCAGGATATGGTTATAATTTGGCTTATTATTAGCAGGCCATTGTGCGGAATGATTATGACGGGCATAAGTTACTCACCAGCAGGCTGTTCGATTTGCGTAGACTCGAATGCGATGGCATCAGTTCCAAGTGGTTCGGTCGCTGCGGCTGCGTGTGGTTCAAGTCGGGCGATAAGGCCAAGTGTTCTGCAAATATTTTATATCGAATTAGGGATGCAAGTTTATCGAGGGGAAATATAGTTTTGAAAATATCTAGAAAAGAATTCCCATAAAGCAATAAATATTCGTGTAGAAATGGGACAGCTAAAATAAAGTGTATAATAAATTAATAATAATCGTATACAGATGTTAGCACTTATAATTTTATATTTCGTATTTCATATTTATATTAAATTTAAATATGTATCGTATATGAAATTATTATTTATTTTAAGATATAGTTCGCACTTTTAATATCTAAAATAATAGATAGGATAAAGTACTGAAGAAAGCTTCTCTTGAATTCGATACATATCGATACTATAGTTATTCCACATTTCAAGGTGATCAGAAGCTTGCAAAGCAGTGAAGGAGTCCTTTCCGACCCTATAAACTATATATATTCTTGATCAGCATGAACAGCTTAATCGATCTAGCCAAGTCTGGTGGAAAAATAATTTTTTTTTTTAATTTTTCAAAATTTTCAAAATTTGACAAAAAATTATATTTTAAATTGGGTATGCAGATTTATTAACCTAATAAAATCCAGCATTAAAAAGCTTTTCGAATTAAAATTAATTATTTTTTGGCCTAGTTATGAGTATTTGAAGTTTTTATTTTATTGACCAAAATGTCATATAAAAGTATCAATTTGAATATTTAAAGTTTAGTTATGATCGATTGGATCTTATAGTTTAATTGCAAAGTGGTGTTCAACTACGACCTCCAACATTATAATTATTAAATATACCGTATACCGCAATTAAATTATAATAAACAATTGATACCAATTTTGATAATTAAACTGAATTGGATGGCTAAGTAAACAACTGGACCGTGGCGCCCTCGACTTTGTCAAGGTCGTTGGCCCACCCACTCGCGAGGCCGCATCCCATCGGTTGGATGGGGATCCATCCACCTGGTTGGTGGTCCAGTGCCCCACCGCATCCACCTTTTAACGATCCGCTCTGGCGGCCACTTTCGCGCTTAATTTCCCATTAATTACAGCGTCTGAAGTTCAATATTTGTTTTGATTATGCTCGGACCCGACCCTGTGATAAATTAAGAAACCATTATCTAGACCCTCGCGATGATGATCGGGCTAATGATCGTAGTGGCTAAAATGATGGCCGGGCGAAGTCTGTTTACTGGCTGGCATTTCAATTTGATTTGTTGGCAAATATTTAAGAAATTTCTTCCACGAATCCCCACATACATAAATCGGCATACAGTATATGCGTTTCGTTTCGCACCTGGGGCACGTGTTAATTGCAACAAGTGCTGTAAAAATGTAAATTAATTAAGCGTTTCAGAAAATTTCTCCTTTTTGGCGAATAACTGTACGAATTCGACAGTATATTTCCCTTTCTCAAAATATTAAACAAGGATAGCGCCAAAAGAAAAACACATGTTTCTCGATCTAAATTTAGAAAGAATCTTTTTTGTTGAATTTTTACAACCGAAATGACCCATTTCGAAGGAAACCAAGCGCACATCACATACACATCATAATCAATTAGGAAAACGCTTGCAAATGGTTTGCAAAACAGCTGCAAATCGAGTCTCTGACATGGAACAACAATTAGTAATCCAAATACAATATAATATATACATATATATAAGAAAACTGTTTAGCCAAAGACAAAATATAAGGCTGAAGAATATTACACATACGACCTGTTGTTGCGACACCAATTTGTAGCATACCTTTTGGAGCTATTTGAAGTCCCTGAACCCATCTCCTAGAGACATTCAACTCTGCCCCACGCTGATCTAATCCCAGCGGAACGACACCCAGACACACACGTGCTCATAACTCATTATTTTAGTTGTCTATTAAAAAGTCAGCAAAAGGCGCAGACAAGAAAATTACTATATAGTCGCAGTGAGAATTACAGCGTAGGATGAGATATTGGAATAAATAAATTATATTTTTGGTCCATGTGAGTACTGAGTGCTGCAAGCTTCGTGCTTCGTGTGGTGCTCCATGTGCCACATCAAGTGTCGCCTGGCAACAAATTCAGTTCTTTTCGGATGACTGACTTGGCTGATGCCATGGTTATGATGGAAGATATCGGAGTATCGGCGATAAGTAGCTACCTTCCCATGGCGTTATTTATATTTATTCTACGAATTTCTGGCGAATGATGTCGCTGGATGGTTTTAGACAAAAGATTGCAAAAAAGAATTGGCTTTTCTCGTGAGGTTCTTTAGTATTATTCTCATTTTTTTTGTTGCTGCTTATTTTTGGCATCATCCGAGCGTTGATGACGTCAAACTACGCCTTGTCTGTGTAGGGAGGGGGGAAAATGGTTGAGATGGAAAGATGGAAAACCGCACAAAGATTATTGAAAATTGAAGCAATATGTGGAAATTGCTTAACAGCGTCGAAGTGTATGTCGAAAGCCCCTCTGAGTTCTCTTAGGTACTTTTCGTTTTCTTTACTGTATTTTATTATATTTTATTTTATTTATTCCTTGTGTATATTCTTTTTCACTTTTAATATGTTCTCCCCCATATGCGCAGTCATCTTTCATATTGTACTTTCTACTTTTTTGGGGGTATTGTAAAATGCCTTCTGCTCAGTCTGTACACTATATATATACACATATGTGTGTATAAAAACACACATCTCCTGTCTGCAATTGCAGTTTGTATATTTACGGAAATAAAGAGATGAAAACACTGGTAAGATATTAAACAAAATAAACAGTAATGCCTTCTCAGTGCTCTGTGCATGATCTGAAAATCAATTCTCATTTTTATAATAATAAACTTTAGTTTAATCAACTTGGGAAATGTTTATTGTATTGCGAGACAGAGAGATATATCCTCCTAGTTTTGGCTATAATTTAGTGTCTGAATTGTTGTTAATTTTAAAGACTTAACTGCTTTGCTGGTTTTTACCCTTCTCGACCGCCTCCCTGGAGAATGAAATGCAATTTAAATGCAAATGCAAATGCCGCGCTCGCCGCATCGAACTGAATTTGAAATTAAAGAGCAGAAATTTGCATTGAAATGCGAAAATGAATGGGAAACTAATGCGGCGGGCGAGTGTGTCCAGAGGGTCCAGAAATTCACCCAGGAAGCAGCTGACGATGGCGTCGACAGCCAGAGCTTTTCATTTATTTATTGGCCAGCCAACGACCGACCGGCTGTCGACTGCTTTTCCCCCTTTTCCTTTTGGCTTCTCAACTCGTAATTCCCACCGACACTCACCTTTCTTGGGCGTCTCGTTGTCGCCGCCATTCCTGTCGCCGTCCTCGCTGAGCTGCTGCTCGCTGACTTGCTCCACATCCAGCAGCTCCGAGGAGGATATATCGGAGCGTTCGTCATTGGGTTCCAGGGAATTCTTATGAAGATTAAATTTGTGGCACACTTCAAAGGCTTGGCCCACGGTGCGTACGATGCGCATGGCCTGGGACTGCAACGAGGTGAGAATGGGGGTGAAGAGAAGAAAGGGTATTAATTAAATTGCATTAAGGCGAAGAGAAAGGTTCCCCGATGGAGTTACAACATCCCCCCCCCCCGTGCAATTAAGCCCGCATATTACGCATACGCCCCGTTGCGGCGCTGCAATGAACCCACCTCGGGATCGCTCGTCGCACAGCCGCATGCAATTGCATCCTTTGTGCGATTATTGCATAAATTATCACATTCTGCTCGAGCGACTGCCGCCGTCCCCCTCTCCAGGGGAGAGCTGCGCCGCCTCTGCCTCGCCTGACGCTGCTCGGTGAGGATGAGGGGCAGCATCTGGTCGCCGGCTATGATGGGCTCCCGGAAGGATAGCTTCTTGCGCGGCTTGTCGGTCTTGGGACGCTCCAGCATCACTCCATTGTTGCCATTGCTACCACCTCCACCTCCACCACCGCCGCCGCCACTGCTCAGGCTGGAGCTGCTCTGCTGATCGCTGAGACTCTTCCTTCTTTGCAGCTGATGACGCTGCTCGGAACGCTGGTGGAGCTGATGGGCACGGCGCAGGGCCTCCGGCGATGCGGCATAGTGATCATTGGGCAGGCGCTTGAACTTCAGACGGGCCTTCAGGACATCACCGTTGGCAGGAGTAGCAGCAGCTGCTGAGGAGGAGGATGTCGAGCAGGATGTACCCTTGTGACTGGCCTTGGCCACCGGTTGCTCCTTCTTTATTATGTACACCGTGTTCTCGTCATCGTTGAAGAGTATGTGCTTTGGTTTGTGATCTATGTAGGTGTCATCTATGAAGCGGGCAGGCTGACTTAGAACGCCACCGGTTGCCGGAGCCATTTCCCGCTCCACACAACCGATGAGCTCCCGGATGTCCAGACTCTTATTGCGCGACAGAGGCTTCTGCTTCTTTTTGTGCGAGGGAACTGGGGATTGTGGTGGTTTGTCCTTGAGCTGCAACTGCTTGTCTCCCACGAGCATATCCCGAATGAGGCCACCGCCACTGCGAAAGATATTCCGGTGATAGTGCACCTCCGAGGGCTTCTCGGTGGCTGCTCCTCCTGCTGTGGAAGCCGAGGCCTGCTGCTGCTGCTCCGCCGGCGGATGACTCTGGGCCTTGGCCATGTTCACCTTGCTGCGACTCCTGGTCCAGGGCAGAAAGTCAAAGGCCTTGGTAATGGGACTGCGGGGTACGTGGGCGGAATGCTCCGCGAGATTAAGGCGCTGCTTGTGGGGAACAGCCATGGCAGCGATAGTCTTCTCGTGCTTCATGGCCACCAGTTGTGGTGTTCCAAAAGAGTTCGCTGATCCCGCAGAGGCAAGGTCGTCGATTTCGCCAATTTGTCACTGTTCACACACTTCACACTTGCTTTGTTTTGTTTTGCGGCTAGTTCAATGTTATTGCTCTCAATGTTCTTGGCCAATTAGTTGGCTATTAATTTCATAATTGTTTAGGGTCCGATTTGGGTGGCTCCTTGATCCAGGTTGTTCACACTCAACCGATGCGCCATTTTTCACACCTTATTGTTTTTTTTGTGTATCCACCTGAGGCTGTTGCTTCTCGTGTTCATTTATTGGTTTATTGAATTATTTGCAACTTTTCATTTTCATGTTGCCTACATATCGAGGGGATATATACATATTATTGGTTTATTTTTTCCCGAATATTTCTGCCGCGTGAAAACGAGTGAAAATATAAAAGAAAACTGTCAATCTGATTTGGGTTTTGTTTTGGTTTCGCCAGCGGGGAAAACTTCTGTCAGGCATTGGCATCAGGCGAATGATTTGCAATTGTTGTGATTTCCACTGACTCAGAGCTCTGGTTGCAGTCTTAGTCAAGAAAAAGAAATAATTCCGAAGGTCTCTGATTTGTTGATATTTCAAAAATAAAATTGGAATATTGAATGAGCCAGAAAAAACTGGTTTCTCTTGTTAAAAAGTATTTTTATTTAAGGAATGAACAAGAGACTAACTGTATTTCCATTAAATACTATTCATATTTATATTGTAATTTTTTAAGCTTATTATTCTCAACTATAAACCAATAGCAACTTTTAACTAAAAGTCCTGCCAGTTTAACATTTATATCTTTTAAATACAAATATTCTTCTATTTCACATTCCCTGTGTTCAGTTTCATTACTAATTAAGGCCAAGCTGGCGACTAACTTTGTGGTTTCCCCTTTCTGTATTGGGAGGAGGACTACCTGGCAGAACATGGCCAAAAGCAGCAGCAAACACTCAAGCACTTTGAAGGGCTACTTCGGAGGCGGCTGGTCGAGCACTCGCCTCCTGAATGACATTAACAACACATCAATTTGAATTATTTTGACAGGCAGTGACAGCACTTGTTGCGCAAATACCAGACAGAGAGGAGATGGCCAACAAACCTGGCCAAGCAAGACTGCTTACAACACGTTCGATATTTGGGCGGCCATTTAACAGTTTCCTCAAGGTGAATCTGTCTTTTTACGCTGCCAATTTAATGCTCCAGCATCGCGTATACGCCACGTGATCCGTCTTGGGTTATAATGCCGTCTGAGTGTCTAACACAAACACTCTATATAATATACACACACCTCCCTGAAGTATCTTGGGCAATTTCGCATAAATCAAATTGAAAACTATAAAAAATAAACGGATAAAGTGTGTGGCAATTTACATTCGTTACAGCAAAGTTGAAATGAAAACTTAAATAAATATAAAACCAAAGAGAGATGGAAACGAAGAAAATTGCGTGGCTTTCCGTGGAAAACTACTTGAAAATTTATGGCGTAAAAAACGACTTTGTTAGCATTTGTTTTATGTATTTATTTGAATTTTAATTCCCATTTTGCTCTGAACAACAATCAAATCTGGCATTCTGTTTGTTTTCCCCGCTGTCTATCTGTCATAAGGGAAAATTTTCACTTTACACAGAATCATTCGCTGGCACGGTTTTAGCACCGATTTAATGGCCAGTGTCCATCTGGCCGGGGTGTTTACTGTGGCTCGGTGGTTTACTGTGCCACAGCAGCAGCCGTTGCAGAAGCAGCCACCGCAGGAGCCACTTCCGCAGCTGCAGAGTTGACCGCAGGGAAAACTGCAGCCCGTAAATTGTGCACATTGTCACGTGGTCTGCGGAAAGGGGAGGAGGAGTCCTTGCCCCCATCTGCTAATGATGTTCGCATTAGTCATGCTGGCGGCATCGGTGGCACTTGGAAAATCAATTTACATTTCAGCCAACGAACCGAAAAAAGAATATAAACTTGAGTATTTATAATTCGAAACAAAGCGAAACACCTGCCTGCCTCTACGTCCTACCTTCCACTTATTTACTCACAATCCCTCCTCGTGGCTCGTGTTCGATTTTAGAAATACTTTAAAGTAGGCTATTAAAATAATGGATCTATTTTGGCTTGAAATGTGAATAAAAAAATAAGAAAAACAACGATGCAAAAACAAAGCAAAGTGAAACGAAGCGAAGGCACAACCATTTTTGGGAAATGAAAAGGAAAATGGCCAAGAGAATAAGGCATTGTGCGGTTTTCCCCTTTGCCAGAGACAACAGGTAAATTAAAATATATACTTATATATATTTCTCAATTTTCTGTGAACTATTTGCCATAATTTGCGGAACTTTAGGAACCTAACTTGATGTTCATAAAAATATTTTTGTGGATTTCTTTGGCTGTCAAAAATTGTTTTTCTACTTGCGTTGCTTGAGGTATATATCGGTATAAATAAATAAGCCAAGAGGAGCATAAATATTTCAACAAAAATATCACGTGTGCGTTGGCCTTATTGACCATAATTCTATTTATTTATACCTGCCTCCTCATTTCCTGCGGCTACCTGTGGCGAGAGTAGCTCATTAAATGCGTGGTTCACTAATAAACACTGGATTTTTAAAAGAAAAGTACGTCATGGAGCTAAGTTTGGTTGGCAATCAATGGATTTTGCTTAGAATTAAAAACTCCAAAGCATTTGCTTTCTCAAACTGGCACTTTCTAGGGGTTTTCTTTCTCGTTTTTCCTTTTTTTCGGGAGGGTTTCTTAAATCGTATAACTGTCCGCACTTTGCAAAGTTTTCTTGTATTTTTTTCTTGCAAGTGACTGCGTGTTGTGGCTTTTCTCTGGTAATTAATTTTCTAGTCAATTTTCTGCTCTTTCGGCCCATTATTCAATCCTTAGCATTGTTTAAACGTATTATTGTTGCTGTTTTTTTTTGTTTCATTTAATGGCGTCAGCATTTCAAAAATCCAATGACAAAACACTTTTGCTGCTGTTCTTTAATTTAAATATTTTGAAAAACATTTAATTTCTCGCCTCGCTGGGAATGATGATGATCTATGGGTACGTTAAAATATTTTCCTTAAAGCTGTGACATGCCATTGCCTGAATTTATTTTCCCGGTCTAATATCGCATGATTTTCTTTGCTCTTTTTACAAGGGGAAGAAATATCGTTTGGGTTTGTATTTTATTTAAGTGTTTTATTTTGTTTTATTATTATTATGTTTGCACTTCACTAACACTCACGCACTCGTTGCATAATTTTTGGAATTATTTAAATAGAGAACGTTTTTCTTGGGACGTTTTCCGCACATCTGCAGGGGGACGCCGTCTAGCAGGCACTGGACAAAGACCGAACTGGGAGAGGAGATTCGCCGATCGATGTACCGCTTTGTAGCCGGCGAAAATGTAGAAGCTTTTCCCCGCAAGAGCTTTTCCGCTCAGCTGAGAGCTGTTTTCACGAGCATTGGCTACATGCTGCGTTTGTTTTGGTCGTTGTTCCATCTCGATATATCGCAGCGATCGAAGAACCCCTCCTGGGGCCGCCGGTACAACTTGGCGTATACGTGATTTGCAGCTCCCCCAGTGACGTCATTGCTTTGTGTTTCGCGGAAGTAAACAATAGAAAGGCAGGCGGCTTTTCACTTTGGCTCTTCTTGGCTCTTAGCTCTTAACTGAAAAACCATAAATCATATACATTTCAGCACATTGTCTGGCCGTGTGTGTTTATATGTTCATTTAGCTCTGCGAATTGCGTTGCATTTGGTGGGAAATAACAATAAAGGCGAATCTAACGCCACCTCAGGTGCAACGGTTTGAGCTTTTCCCTCTGACGCACACGATTTCCACACGTGCAAGGAGAGAGAGATAATAATTTCTATATGTCTGCATTGCTGCTTCACCTCCTCCTTGTCCTGGCCTTAATTTCTTGTGTCACTTGTCAGGCATTTCGACAGCCCGACACGGACTGCCTTCAGATGTATTGGAATTTTTTCCCAGAAATTCTTCTTGGCCCGCCTGTTAATTAGAAAACCAGCAAAAAAAACAAAAATGGAAATGCCAACTTGACATTGTCTGGGCAGTGAAGTGAAGTTGAAGGCCAGACACGCATATGAAATACCAAGAAGGAAATTTTGCTTGAAAAACTGTCTGACTTGGAATTAATCGAGAAACCGCATTCGGTTTGAAATCAAAGCAAATGCATTTCCCACAGGCACTGGCCCCCACAAAAGTAGAATACGATTTATTTATTTTGCCAAATCTCGGAGGCAACTTAATGGGGGAGGCGTGATGATGTCGCCTCGGGAATATGGTATATCTATATATGGGAGAGAGAATCTGGCCAGAACAGCAAGTTGCCATCGGCCATATAACACGGAAATAAATACAAACGACTGATGGACAGTTGCGCCTTACTTTTAGCCAGATTTTTTGTTTAGATCCCCGTGCGCTGTAATGGCCAAATGAAAAATTGGTCTAGACTCCACAGACATTGACAATGAAAAATGCAAAACCAAGGAATCAAATCACTAAATCGAAATGGAAAATCAAATGGAAGAAAGTGTTTGTAAATTGCTAAGGATTTCAAGTATTGGGACTATCTAGATATGATATTAAGAGCAATAATTCAATTTTACGATTTTATAAATCCAATTGAAATGGCTCACAATTGTTATGGTACATTCAATAAACTGCACTTGGCTCTTTATAGAGCAGAAAATAATTTGTTTCTGTTTATTTGCTAGTTGTTTTCGTTTCGGTTTTCCAATGCTGGATACAAGCCAAAATTATGCATACGTGTAGACACATTTTGCACAAGACCCGTATCTTGTATTTATAGATAATCCATGGGTGGTGGTCGCAGGAGGGGGTTCCCCCTGGCATGGGTAATGTCAAGTAAGTCACATGTACATTATGCGAATTGCGGTCATAAACATTTCAGTGACCAAAGTAAATGTGCAAAAACCTACAACTTTTTGTAATATTCCCCCGAAAAAAAGATAAATCCCATATAAACAACAATAAGATTCTCACCTTTTTGTGACTTTTGAAGACGGAACACTTGAACGTATCCGTGCTGGCATCGCGCGCTATATAGCTGAATATCTTGAGATCGCTGCTGTCGTGGGACACGTAGAATATTCTATAGATGGGATGATTGAGCAACTCGATTTCCTCGGGGTCATTTGTCCAGTTCTTTTTCTAAAATCACAAACAAATATTATTGTAAATAAATAAGGTGAGAGTAAATAAATAAATGATTGGCATTGACTTACTTTTCGACGGCGCTTCTTGAGCACAACGCGCACGCCATTAACCGATATGTGTATGGTGACCTTTCGCTTCTTCAGATTCTGCACTTTGCACTCGTACTGTTTGGAGGGAAAATTTAGGAAAATTCGATTAGAAAGTGTATATTAAAAATCATAGATGTACTGTAAAAAAGTAGAGAAGAATACGTTGTTTTCTTATAGTTATGTGCAAATTCTTTTTATATCTATAATGTCTTGTGAAACTTTAATAAAATTCTGAATTATTTATGTACTTGTTATAATTACTTATTTATTTAAAAATTAGTTCTAAGGAAACCAGGAATATTTAACTAACATAAATATATATTATGTCTTGGATCGATACAATACTGTCTCAGTTTTATTTAATGTCTTAAAGAAAACCCCCATAACTATATATTTTTATGCCTCAATAAAACAAATAATACTAAATAACAACCGTTTTTCTCAATAGTTATTTTCCGAGTGTACATTTTCCGTGTGTGGGGTAAAAGGGAAATTGGAACCACGTAATTCCAGAATTTTCAATTAACATTTGACTGCCTGTGACGGCTTGCCTAATGGCAAAGACATGACAATAACAAGCGCCGAATTTACCACGTCTCCTGCCCCCTTGGCTGACAGACATGGCTAATACGGAATATAACACACACACCCTCCGAGGAGTCGGCCAGGCTAACACGGTTTAAGCCAGGACACGCACGACTTCTCGGCACCGAGGAAAAGGGAAAGAATAAACAAGCCTCGTTACTTTTTATGCTACTAGAGTGTATATATTTTTTTGTTTCTCTGTTTCGCTTTTGGCCATATATGTGTAACTGTAATCAAAGTATGTGACTTTGGCAAACAGAAAGTGTTGCCAGAGAAATTTAAAACCGCCTTCGGTGCGGATAAAAAGTTCCTTTAATTGGCAGCCGGAGATGTGCATATCCCACGGAAATCTGTTAACATTTTCAGGCACAATTCAAAACTCACTGGCGTCCCACACGGCGTATGCTTAATAGATTTCCCCATGTTGACTTACCCTTATGCGCCGCATGGCCTGAACGATCTCGGCTCGAGTGTTGGGTCGTGGCACCTCCTCCCAACCGACAAACTGCAACGACACACAAAGGCAGAGAGAGGAGAGAGTGAATATTATGTTATTGTTTAAGGTCCAAACAAGGACCCAAGTTAAACAAGGCCTCAAAGGAGACTCAAGAGCCACTCAGCTAGAGTGGCGGCAGGCTTTAAATTTAAACAAAGTGTAAATGAAAATTGTGGTTTATACAGGTTAATATTTAAAGAGGAAACTCAAATAAAAACATTTAAAATGATAGAGGTTAATATAATTAAATATATTACAAATAAAAAGAACACTACTTAGAGGAAAGAAAGTATTTATGTTCTTGCATTAAGATTTTTCATTTCTGAAACTATATTGTTTAGGTAAATAATTTCAGAAATGATTTATTCATCAAGCAAATTAACCATTAAGGAAATTTCAACACAAAAATATATATAACTTGCACCAGAAACTTATTTAAATATAGAATTGCTTTAAATTCTGTTGCCAACTGAGCAACAACCTCGACATACTAAGCTGCATTTATATATTTTTAGTTTTTACTGCATTTTCTAAATTTAAACGACAATCTGCCCTTTGTTAAATTCTTCAAGGGGAAAGCTCCATCATCAATTTGCCAGCTTAAATGTACTTTTTATTTCGCTGTCACTCAGAAATACTAACAATATATATATACACATACTTTTAGTGATTCTCGGGGAAATTTATGGCCAAAAATGAATTCAAAACTGTGGCGACAACAACAATAACTCGTAGTTGCGATTGTTTGAAAATAAAAATGTGCGATTTTAATGCAGAATGCAGCTCAAGGATAACAAATGCGTAGATATGGACCTAGATTTTTGAATTTTATTACGGTGACAACAACAGTTTAAATGCTAAATGACATGGCAACAACAATCGCACAGAGAGAGAGAGAGTGACAGTGACAAAATGTGCATGAGATAGCAGCCACGCCTCCACCGCCCCCCATTTCCCCCAATAAAAATAAATATATATATTTAAACAGTTTCCAATGTGCGACAAATACCGAAACATAACAATGAAAATAAATATTTATGACAAAGTTCAGTGAAGAGAAGAGAGTATCTTTTCGGGTGAACAGCCTTTCGCCTCGTCAAAAAAAAGAAAACTCTCATCCTTTTATTTCGAAAGGGAAAACTTTTACAAACATTTTTCGTGGGAACAGTGCCATCTATTTATGGGACCCCAGCATATGTCTAGTCTCCATATAAGCTATGTCGAGTTATGATAAACAAATAGCAAACGCTTTTTTCCTCAATTTTCTGCGAATGCTAATTCTCTGAATGCTAATTCTCTGAATGCTAATAATATGGCGTGTGCCCCCCAATCAATATATTTTACAAAAAGAAGGAGAAAACCCGCTCCAAAAATAGACCAAGACTAATGTCTTAATTCCGGCAGAAAATAGATTTTAGCAAATTATGAAAGAAAACAGAGTTAATGCTTTCGCTGATTGATTTCCACCCACACTGTGATTAATTGCCATATGCCCTAAAAGTTGGAAATGTTTACTTTTCACCGAAATATATACACTTTCGATTATGCAGATGTTGAATCAAAAATGTATTTTAACCCTGTCGTTCGCGTATAAATAGATATTTGAAGGGCTATGAAACGAGGCTTTAAAACTCCCCACAAAAGCCATCCGGCAGTGAGGCCATAAAAAGCCATTTACAAAAAGCGAAAAGCAGCCGAAGATGGAGCCTGGAAAAACTCACACAGTATGAAAAAAAGGAAAATGCGAATGGGAAGACAGAGTGAAAGCTAAAGCGAAACTCTCACTCTCGCCCACAAATATTTGGATTGCATTAAATTCATGCAAACACAAAGGATAAAGGATACACAGAGCGCTTATCCTCTCCAGCTAGACAAATCCCCGCGCAAATAAAATAAAAAGAAAAGCAGCTACAGGACCCTGCTCTGAGCTGGCAAAACGTTTCGCTCAATGCTTTCCTCAACGCTTTTCCTGGGCTTTTCCCACTCCCTCCCACTCCTCCGCTCCCC